TTTTTGGGTGGCGCCTTCAGCAAGTGGAAAAAGCAAACAGGGGCCGGCAGGCAGCAGAGCAGACAACGCAGAAGAGAGGTGGAGAAGCTCTCGGCTTGCTGGCGTGAGGTAGAAACCAATAAACCAGTGCAACAGAGAATCACCCTGTCCGTGACACCAAAACGAGACATTCCCATGACCAAACTAGCACTTGGGTTGCTTTTGGCTGGTTTTCTGGCCACCTAGGCCTGTGTCAAACTGGGACTCGGACCCCAAAACTGGGAGCTTCGGGTCGCCGCTTGGGGTACTTTTCGCTGGGCCGCCGGACGAAGTACACCGAGCTGAGCGCCAGGATGACCAGCACAGCCACTCCGAAACCCAAGCGGAGGGCCTCGATGTCCCAAACAAAATGACTCCGAGCAGTGGGCGTCTTGGGCGTGGGCCTCGAAATTGTCTCTCTGCATGTTCTTCTTTTGTGCTTTTCGTTGTGGGTGGTTCTGATTCTTGGGGAGAAGGACTCCAGCAGCAACAACCAAGCAACACAAGGAACTTATTGGGGAGAAGCTCCTTGGAAGGTCTCTGCTGAAAGGCCCTGGCCCACCAAGGACTCCTAACCCTCGAGGTCAAGGCAAGCACCTTCTTGGCGAAAGCACGGCATGCTCCGTGTTTAACGGTAGTCAGAATCATGTGGCAAGCAACCCCTGCCACAAGCCCGGGAAGTACCGAACAAAATCCGGACGAACACACCTGCAAACCCCACACCTGATGCAGGAGCAGGAAGCCTGCTCCGGAAAAAAGTAGCTTCTGAAAGGGACACCCAGAACAAAAGCAATCGGAAAGGGAAGCCCAAGCCTGAAAAGAATGCGAATTCACAACACGACAACTGGAGGGAAGCCCTCCTCAAAATGCAATCTGAAAGGGAAGCCCGCCAACAACAAACAACAATTGAAAAAAAATCGAGGAAAGCCAGCCAAACAAAAAGCAACCTTGAACGGGGCTTCCGTTCAACCATGATATGCGTGGCTTGTTGCAAGAAAAAAACTTAGAGGAACGCGAAAAGAAAAAAAGAAAAAGGAGGACATTCCCGGGATTCCGACTGGACTAGGCCATGGGCCGGTGGTAAGCGGCCACCCCGACAATCAAACGCTCGGTGGGCAATCATGGGGGTCAAAATGGGGGGGCCCCCTAATGGAAGATGTCCTTGTAGGTTCCCTTACCACCCCAAAAGCAGTCTCCACTTCTGCTCAAACGGTCCTCAAAAGTTAAAGACTAGAATTCCAGCATCTGAAGCAAAAGTACCTCTATGGCCAGCGACTGGGCACCAATCGCCCGAGAAAAAAGACGCCCCCCCTTCGTTCGAGCAAAATCAGATACCCTCCATGCCGACCGGACCCCGGGTGTCGCATAGGCCGTAGCCAAAATGGGAGGGTGGCATTGGGCAGGTGCCTTCAAGGCAGACGTGGCTGTGGTTCCGGCAGGTTTGCTCCCAAAAGCTGGCAAAAACCGCTGTTTCGGCCCCGGGGAAGCCCAAACCATGGCAGTTCCCCGCTCACATCGGGCTTTTTTTTGGGCTCTTGCTGGCTCCAAGCCGAGCTTTTGCACAAGGCTCCAGGTGACACTTGAGACACGTCGGCCCATTTTGGTGCTGCAAAAGCCCTTGGGCCCCGGACCATGGGCCGATGGGCCTGGCACCGCGGTGAAAATGACACGGTGGAACCCCCCAAACCGCTTTCTCGGGCGTGGCCTTTTCTGCACATGGCAAATTATAGTTGATTGTCTCACTCAGCCGGGGCCCACGATTTGGGCGCGCAGAACATGAGATCTAAGGAGCACATTCTGCTGCTTAAGTCCCCTACTCAGTCTACGCAATGCAAAACATGTCTTGGAGGCGACCCCTTAGATACAGGCTCACATGCAAACTGGAGGTACAGACAGTTTGCAAACCCGCGAAAAGGTTGGTCCAAACATAGGGAAGCTGGCCCTGAAACACGCCTCCTACGGTTGAAACTCTGGTATTCAAACCTCGTTTAGATTCCCGCGGGGATCTAAGGGCCAACGCCCGGTTCTGAACAGAAACTTTGTTTGCAACGGGGCAATTCTATTTGGAATGACATGGGGAGGCAGTCCCAACAAGGTCCCCATGTCGGCCACTGGATACAAGTCATCAAAGGCAATGGAAACTGTTATCACAGAGTCGAGAAAACGGTTGAAATGCGCTTTGTATCCTGCGCTTTGCGTGGAATTCACCTGCTCTTCCCCCTGTGGGTCCTTTTTCAGACAACTTTTACTCCTCCTTTTATATTCTACAGGGGTGGGTCCGCAAAAGTCACATCAAACCGATTTCTAGACCGAGGGAATCACGCAGGTACGACAAAAAGTAGCAACCTAAAACCCTATTCCCTGTTAGGAAAATCAGACATATGTGCACACTGCGTGTGTGCAACTCGAGCCTAGACCATCCCACACTCAACACCCGCTTGTCCGTCTGCCACGGCATCGCGACACAAACTCCGCGGTGGCTGTGCCTTCGAACTTGCATACTCGAAGCATCAGACTTGGGTAAGGTACTTTGCAACAAAATCGAGCCACGGCGTTCATAAGGCGCTCATGCGTCAAAAAAAGGCTCAGGCGCCGTACGCTCGCAGTTGGCAGGGAGCTTCAACTCATGGCTCGTGATATCCCATTGAGCTCCGGACCTAGCGCGCATCTGCGCTCGCGACGGCATCTTCCATGGCTAAGTCAACAGCCAAAGGAATGCACCTTGATACGCAGCGCTGAGATGTTGGTAGCATGTAGGTGATCAAGCTGAAGCTTTCCGTTCCAATTGATGGCCTTCCATTCTTTCAAGCCTTGTTCATGGAGCGCAAGGGGGTCAGATCGTTCTTTAGACAATGGACACCCGCAATCAGACCTACTCTGCTGCAAATGAACGGGCACCCCCAAAAGAAGGTTCGCAAGCTGGGTGGCAGCGAACCCCTGAACTGATTGCTGTTTTGTTGCATCAACGGACGACTTGCGGAGCACCCGCGAAGAACCCATTTGTTGCTTGGTTGCTGTTGACCCCCCCCTGCAAAAAGTTTAACTTTTTGGGGCTTTAGTGGAAAACACCTTTATTCCAAAAAAAAAAAGTCTAAATATCCAACCCAATAGCAGTGCAACCAAGAGTTGGTCCATGTGTCGCTCGGCATACTTTCAAGCAAAGGATTGCGCGGCGAATCCGAGTGGCAAGTGGGCAAGTACAGGGAATGACGAGTGACCAAAACGAGGGAACTCTGCCTCGACTTTCACCTAGCACAGTGGTTTGTTAAGCAAGCGGTTGGCTTGAGGGAGTTTTCAAGCACGATTTCCTGAACAAACATGAAAGGAACGCAGTCGTTCACAAGAAGTGTGTGCACTTCTTCTTTGAGCAGTGCCCTAAGAAGCCCGAAATTCCCTCGGTTGCTTTCTGCTTCCCTGCTACAAGTTTAACTTTTAGTGGTTTAATAGAAAACCTATTTGTTGGCAAAAAGTTAAAGTCCTAACATCCAAGCAACATGCACCAAAGTGAAAGTTCTTGGGGCTGTTTGGCAACTGCTGGGTCGCGACCTCCAGGGTCGCTGGCCCCAAAAGAATGACGTGAGAATTGTTCGGCCGGTGCCGATTTGGGGTTGTTTGTTCCAAGACACTTTTGGTTGGACAGCAGAGGCCTGTTTTTCATCCACGTGGACAATCCGGAATCCGGGGTCACCAGTGAAAGTTCCAAATTCCCTTCTGGTGACTAAATTTACTACCATGCGGCGACTCTTGACGTCTTTCACAGACTTTTCAGCGAACCACTGGCTGCTGAGCCAGTCAGGCAGGTCACAAAGGTCGCGCCAAATCAGTGCAGCAAGCTATGGTCAATGGTGGCAAGCTAGGCGCTCCAATCGAGCCGCAGTTGAACCCTCTGTGTCTCAGTTCAGATCCCAAGTCTGCAATACTTAATTGCATTCTGTGAATTGTTAATCCCAAAACGTGAAAGCTTGGAGGATGTGCTCCCCAAACACGAATTCGAAAGTCTACAGCTGGCTACGAGTACTGAGACAAGGCTCCAAGATTTGCTACAAGAGACGACCTCACGTCTCACGTCTCGATTTCCCCTGCCCCGCAGCCCACGCAGTTTTGTCGCCGAAAATTCGATCGCCGACTTCAAAGGTGCGTCTGGGGGCTCCGGCGCCGGACCTGATTTGGCAAAACTACGAGAGAAGGGCAAGAAAACAAGGCGAGCATTCAAACCACTCGGTTGCTTTCTGCTCCCCTGCTAAAAGTTTAACTGCTAGTGCTTTAATACCTCAAACCCTTTTGTTGGCGAAAAGTTAAAGTCCTAACATCCCTTGGCAACATGCACCAAAGACAACCTTCCGAACACGGCTTCTAGCACTTCGCCGGCGACGGCAAAAATCAGCGGCCCCCACTTCGGGCTTCGGGCCCAGCGGCCCAGTCACCATGTGCTGGGACGCGAGTGGTGTCGATTGTATTGGAGTTGCTGGTGGCAGGGAGAAAATCACAATCTCTCGGGCACGGGAGTTTTTGTTTGGGGTTTTCTCATCGAAGGGTTCTCGTCGAGCCTTTCTGGAAGGCACTGAGAGTGCCTTCAGTGACTCTCTCCCAACTGCCCACCTGGGATCGAACCGGCTACCGGTGGGCACATAGCGGCCCACACACGTATCACCCAGACTCCAGGGCAGAATTGAGTTGCAACCCCGACCAACAGTCGATGAATCTTTCCGCACAAATGGATCTCGCAAGGTGTGACTCTCGTTGACTGCTCATGGTTGGGAGGGCAACTCAAGGCTTCTACAAAAGGCTCCAACAAAAAAGCGCCCGTGGCCAGAACCTATGCCTGGATTGTCATTCTCGGCCGTACCGGCATCGTAAACGACGTGATCGTGGGGCTGGGCTTGTCGGAAACGCCCATTCGCCTCCTGTTTACCGAAACGGCGGTTTTCATCGGTCTTCTCCAACTGTTCCTGCCGCTCATGATCATATCCCTTGTCTCGGCAATGGAGAACATCCCGCGGGATGTGGTTCCAGCCGCCCGCGTGCTGGGCGCCAGCTGGTTCCAGGTGTTCTTCCGGGTCATTCTGCCGCTCACCAAGGAAGGGCTGGTGATCGGAGGCACACTTGTCTTTACCGGAGCGCTGACAGCCTATATCACCCCTGCCATTCTCGGAGGATCGAAAGTCCTGATGTTGGAGACTTTGCTCTACCAGAAGGTCAACGTGTCGAATGATTTCGTATCGGCAAGCGTCATCGCCATGATCCTCATTGTCATGTGTTTTTCGGCCAATCTGGTCCTGAAACGTATTGCCTCGGCGCGGAGCTAGACCATGTCCCGCCTTACAATCTGGCTCATCCTGGGCACAACGCTCACTTTCCTGATCGGGCCTTTTCTGATCGTCATTTTCGCAGGAGCCTCTGCGGGGGAAACTCTGACCTTTCCTCCCCAGGGCCTGTCGCTCAAGTGGTACGCCAAGGTCTTCACGGTGGAGAGCTTCCGAGACAGCTTTGCATTGTCGATGTTCCTTGCGATCTTCGGCACGCTGACGGCCCTGCTGATCGGCATCCCGGCCGCCTATGCGCTCAATCGCTACAACTTGCCCGGAGCCGAGGCCATCCGGACGATTGTTGCCGCACCCATCATCGTTCCGGGGATTATCGTGGGTCTCGCGCTCTTGCGCTATTTCGTCGTGCCGCTTGATGTGACAATCACCATGGCACTTTTCGTGACGCACACCGCGCTGGTCCTGCCCTATGCGGTTCGTGTCGTCTCGTCGAGCCTCAACAACCTGCGTGCGGACATGGAAGAAGCGGCTGTTATTCTTGGCTGCACGCGCTTTCAGGCATTTGTCAAAGTCGTTCTGCCGAATATTCGCGGCAGTATCCTTGCAGCCTTTATTCTGGGCTTCGTGACCAGCTTCAATGAAGTGCCGGCCTCGCTCTTTCTGTCCGGGCCGGGGGTGCGCACCCTGCCGATCGACATGCTTTCCTACATGGAAATCACATTCGATCCTTCCGTAGCGGCTCTCTCGGCTCTATTGGCCTTCATGTCGGTTGCCATCGTCTTCGTCGCCGAACGACTCCTGGGGTTTTCTCGTTATGTCTAACGCATATGTTTCACTGACCGGTCTAACGCTTTCATATGGGCAGACGGTCGCGGTGCCGGAGCTGAACCTGGATATCCGAAAGGGTGAGCTGATTGCGCTTCTCGGTCCTTCGGGATGTGGCAAGACAACCACCATGCGGGCCATTGCAGGGCTCCTCGCTCCGACAAGCGGAAAAATCATGATCGACGGTGCGGATGTAACCCGGACACCAGCGAACAAGCGTGGAATCGGCCTCGTTTTCCAGTCCTATGCGCTATTTCCTCATCTCAGTGCCTTCGAGAATGTTGCTTTCGGGTTGCGGCTCCAGAAGCAGCCCGACGCACAAGTCCGTGCCAAGACCGAAGCCGGCATGGCGACTGTCGGCCTGACAGGCTTCGAAACGCGAAAGCCTTCTGAAATGTCGGGTGGCCAGCAGCAGCGATTGGCGCTGGCCCGGTCGCTCGTAATGGAACCGAAAGTTCTGCTGCTCGATGAGCCTCTGTCCAACCTGGACGCACGCCTGAGACTTGAGATGCGTAACGAGTTGCAGCGGGTCCAGAAGGACACCGGGATCACAATGGTCTTTGTCACGCATGATCAATCGGAGGCACTGGCATTGGCCGATCGTGTGGTGCTGATGAAGGACGGCAAGATAGAGCAACTGGGGACGCCTGCAGAACTCTATGCCGAGCCCAGCACCGCGTTCGCGGCGAATTTCATGGGGTTTGAGAACATCTTCCGCCTGGAGGGTGCGGACCTGGTCTCGGATCACGGCCGGTTACCCTTCGGCACCGAAGCTGCGGTCCCGTTACTGGCCTGGCGGCCAGGCGGTGTCGCGGTCGGGAAGGGGCCTCACGTTGGCCGGGTGATTGCCAGCAGTTTCGCAGGTGATCACCGGGAATATGTGATCGACAGTCCGTTGGGTCAGATTAAGGCGGACGCTTCCATCGATCTCCCTGAGGTGTTACTTGGCCAGCAAGTCGCATTCGATCTTCCACAGGCAACCGCACGGCATTTGGCAGCGTGACAGCAATTTGGGTTGATACTGATTTCGGGTTTGACGACCTTTGGGCGCTTCTCCTGCTGCGGCACCTGGGACATGAGGTCGCCGGTGTTTCCCTTGTCGCGGGCAACGCCCCGCTCGCCCAGGTTTGTGCCAATGCCATGGGAGCCAAAGAGGCCTATGGCTTCGACTGGCCTGTCTGGCAAGGCGCTGATCGGCCGCTGAAACGCCTGCCGGAGACCGCCGAACGCATACTCGGCCCCACCGGAATGCGGAGCCGGGGAGCCAGGTTGCCGGTTTCCAGATCCGGTGCACCGCCCAAGGGCGCACCGGACGCGATGCGGGATTGGCTTCAGACTGCCAATGACGCGAAATGCCGGATTTTGGCTCTCGGTCCACTCACGAATATCGCGCAGCTCGTGACGCAGTCACCCGAGGTGACAGACCGGATCGAACGATTGGTCTGGATGGGGGCAAGTGCGGGCGCGGGAAACCATACGCCCATGGCCGAATTCAACGCGGTGGCCGATGCCGAAGCATTGGATTGTGTCCTTGCATCCGGTCTTGCAGTCGACATCGTCGACCTTACGTTTTGCCGAAAGGTGACTTTCGGACCGGAAGATATGCCCGAGACAGATGAGTTGACCCGCGACCTGCTGGGAGGCTACCTCGATATCGCGCTGGAGCGTGCTCGCCCGGGCATGGCGATTTACGACCCTCTTGCGGCACTGGCTGTGGCGAATCCGGACAGTATCGGCTTTTCGTCCTGCAAGATTGAGGTGTCGACGGAAACGGACGAAAGCTATGGGGCCACCAAGGTCATCGAAACAAGTTCGTCCACAACGAGAATTTCGACCGAAGCGAATGCGGATCTGGCGCAACTCTGTCTCAGCGCATTGAAACGGGAGGCCTTAAATGGCCCAAGATAGCGACCTTAACGCGCCGGAAATGAGAGACCGGGCAGTCAGAGCAGCCCAGGGCCAAGGTCCCTTCGACCTTCTGATTGCGAACACGCGTTTGCTGGACATGGTCACGGGCCGCGAACGTGACGCGGATATTGGCGTGACAGGAGGGCTCATTGCCAGCGTGCATTCTCCGGACAGGGCGCGTGAGGCGCATGCCTTCTTGGATGCGGTTGGCCGTTTCGCGGTCCCGGGTCTGATAGACACGCACATGCATGTGGAAAGCTCCATGGTGACCCCGGCTCAATACGCGGCAGCCGTGGTTCCACGAGGCGTCACAACAGTGGTTTGGGATCCGCACGAATTCGCGAACGCCTGTGGTCTTGCAGGGGTCGACTACGCGGTTTCGGCAGGCAGGGACCTACCGCTTCGCTTTCTGACACTTGCGCCAACCTGTGTTCCCTCTGCTCCAGGTTTCGAGACGTGCGGTGGCGACTTCGGCCCGGAGGTGCTCTCGGAACTGTTGACCCGCGAAGATATCCACGGCGCTGCGGAGCTGATGACAATGCAGCCTCTGCTCAGTGGCAATCCCAGGGTCAAGGGCATCGTGAATGCGGGACTGGCAAGCGGAAAGAGGGTCTGTGGACACGCACGCGGCCTTGAGGACGGCACCCTGGCAGCATATGCGGCGGCAGGCGTCGAGAGCGACCATGAGCTGACAAGCGCGCAGGACCTGATTGCGCGGCTGGAAGCGGGTATGACGGTTGAACTTCGGGGCTCCCACGAACATCTCTTGCCGGAATTCACGGAGGCAATTCTGGAGCTGGGTCATCTTCCCCAGACACTCACTTTTTGCACCGACGACGTTTTTCCCGATGACCTGGCCAATCATGGCGGGCTGGACCATATGGTCAGGCGCATGATCGGTCACGGGCTTCCGCCTTCATGGGCTTACCGCGCGGCGACACTCAACGCAGCGACGCGTATCCGGCGTTCAGATCTGGGACTTGTCGCACCAGGAAAACGTGCCGATATCGCACTCCTCGACGACATCGAGCGCGTGAAAGCCAGTCTGGTAGTCGCAGACGGTGTCCTGGTTTCCGAGGGCGGCAAGATGGTCAGGCCTTGTCTCGCGGCTGCTCCTCCAGTCGCGCTCAGGAACTCAGTTGCGGTCCGTGAACTGCGGCCCGATGATTTTGAGGTTGCCGCCAAGGGATCAACAGCTGAGATCGCAACCCTCTCCAAACCAAGGTTTCCCGCTTGGGGTGCTCGAACGGTGGATGTAAAGGCAGGGATATTGTCGCTTCCCGATGACATGATCCGCATGGCTATCGCCAACCGGTACGGTCGAAACCTGCCCGTGCGTGTGGCATTTCTGGAAAACTGGGGAACATGGCGCGGCGCATTCGCGACAACCGTTTCTCATGACAGCCACAACCTCACCGTCTTCGGTTGCGATCCGGTCGACATGGCGCTGGCCGCAAACACGGTCCGCTCATCGAATGGCGGGTTGTGTGTCGTCTCCGACGGCAAGGTGCTTGGGCATCTTGCCCTTCCCCTGGCAGGCCTTGTCAGTGAGGCGCCACTTTCAGAGACGGCCGAAAGCTTTGCCGCTTTGCGCCGGTCACTCGACACGTTGGTCGACTGGGAGCCACCCTACCTTGTTTTCAAGGCGCTCTTTGGAGCATCTCTCGTTTGCAATGCCGGTCCACGCCTGAGCGATGTCGGCATTGTTGATGTCTTCAATGAGCAGATCCTTGAGACACCCGTTATTCCGGCAAGATCTACCCCGATGCACGCACAAGAACGTCCCTGATTTGACCAGGGTCTGCCGCAGCGACCTGCCGCTGATCAGGTCGCTGCAACCGCGATGATTTCCACCGCAAAGTCCGGTGTTGCGAGTTTGGATTGCCCACAGGCCCGGGCCGGAGGATTGGCCGGATAAACCGAGGCGTCACAGACCTCGTTCGTCTCGAAAAAGTCGGCCATGCTCGCAAGCCAGATGTTTGCCTGCAGGATACGGCAATTGTCGCTGCCTGCGTCACTCAGAAGTCTTTCGATCGTTTCCAGAATTACCGACCAGTCCGGCCAGCCCGACCATGTTGCCAGGGACAACGGCCTGGCTCATGCGCGGACCGATCCCGAACCGTTTGATTTCCGTCATATTGTTTGCTTAACCGTTCAATCAATTCTGGCTGAGACGGGAAGGATCGAGAGCCTGCACAACCTCCTGTGCCAGTTCCGGTTTCCGTCCCAGACAAAGATCCGCCGTGAGCTGCGACAAGGCAGGTGCGGTTTGAACACCGTATCCGCCCTGTCCGGCCAACCAGAAAAATCCGTCCCCATCGGGAGCAAAGCCGACGGCAGGCGTTCGATCCCTTACAAAACTGCGAAGACCTGCCCAGCTGTGTTCCACACGTGTGATCTGCATTTTCACAGCCTGTTCGAAACGGTGCAGTCCTTCCGCGAGCGCCATGTCGTCAACCCAGGCATCATGAGGCTCCACTGGGTCTTCATCTGCCGGAGAGACCATGAATTTACCTGCGTCCGGTTTCACGTACCAACTTTCCGATGCGCTCGCGACCAAAGGCCAGGACGTGATATCGAACCCGTCCGGCGGTGCAACTATGGCCGCAGACCGGCGCATCGGCTGAAGCCCAATCCCTTGAATTCGTGCCCGTGCCGCAATCACGTCCGCCCACGCTCCGGCCGCGTTTATGAGGACCGGAGCCACAAAGCTGCCGGCTGGTGTCTCCACACGCCAGGCGCCCTGTGCCCACCGGATCGTCTCTGCCGGTGCCCGTGTTACAATTTTTGCCCCATGCTGCCTGGCAAGCCGGACAAAGCCTTGAAGTAACCGGTCAACGTCAATGTCCCTGGCGGCTCGCTCGATTGCCGCTGCAGCAATCCTGTCCTTTTTGAGGAGCGGGAATAGAGTGACGGCCTCTTCAGCCGTCAAGAGATCCATACCGTCTGCGCCATCCAGATAGGCCTGAAACGCACCGAGCTCCTCTTCAGTGGCTATCAGCATTTCACCGCGCGGCGTCAGCAGGCTATGGCCGGACAATCCTTCGGGTGTTTCCAGAATCGGCTCAGAGGCCGCATTGAGCGCCCGCAAGGTGGCATTGCCGTAGTTGCGAATGAAAATCGCCGCCGACCGGCCTGTCGCATGCCGGCCGAGCGCATCTTCCATCTCAAGCAGAGTGACCGATGCGTCTGGCGCAAGACGCGCAGCTGCGCCGGCGCCGGCGATACCGCCGCCGATAATCAGAAATTCAGACCGGAGTATCATGCGCGTTGAAATCCCGTCAGGACACTGGTCAGATTGTAGCCAAGCTCATCGGCCAGGTATCCGCCTTCCTGGACAAACAGTGTGGGCAGGCCGAGCCCGGCGATTGCCGCTCCGATGC